CCTCTGTTGCCATGGGGACACCTGGCCTATGTAGCTTTTACTGAATATGTCAAAAACGCCCCATATAGCTTCATTGTTAGTATAACATGAAAATTATGTAGCGAAGGTTTAAAAATATTCTATAATTCTGCCTGTAATCGAATCTAATGTGCTTCCAGTTCTTACAGCTGCTGTCAGGTGGGAATGGTGTGCTTATTCTCTGTGCCCATTATGCAACGCTGTTCTTCACATATGTATCAAATTCTTGTCAGTCTGTCAACAAGATTATATTACCTAACCAAATTTCATGAAATGATAATAAAAAAATTAACAGACAGGAGACTGACCATGGCTGAAGATCCCCCACTGTCCTAAAATAAATTAGAATATGGATTTAGTAGCACTTAATAGAACCTATTAGTTACATACATAGACAGTAAGTAGCCATAACCATAACCTAAGCCATAATCTTTTTATTTTTATTAGAACATGATGTTCTACACTGAGATATACTGTAAAGCCATTTTTCCTGCTGTTGTTTCTTTTTAAGAAGTAAAAAGGATTTTACGGAAAACATGGTAGAACAGAATTCATGGTTTGTACCATATCAAGGTACATACATTCATCCATCCATTAAATTTAGGGGTGCGGGAGGGGCTGGAGCCTATCCCAGCTAATAATAAAATATTTAATGAAAAGCTAATACCTGTAAATTAGAAGCATTTTTGTCTACATATGGCAGCATTCAGTAGTAATATCTTCATATGCCATCTTCCCCAGCTTCCTTTTGTGCCTTTGTTTTATTACAGTGCTCAGTATTTGTCACATATTGATGCATTTTGTTCAAACACAGTGAATTTGCACTTTATGCACTTGCTTCTTCTTCTTCTTGGATCTTGAACAATTAAGCTGTGACCTAAGCATGGTTTACCTGCATGAGCATAAACATCCTTTTTAATATCAGCAAGTATGACTAGCAGCTACATGCCACATTACTTTAATTCTTAAGATTTGTTTTAAGACTTGACAGTATATTAGCTATAATCACAGCTAAATCCCGAAATTATATACACAGGCTCAAATATATCAACTCAAGTATATACAGTAGCATAGTATATATTTGATTAGAGTTGCCTTTTTAAAGAAACGTACCCATACTTACAGAAATGGTTAAACTCTAAATGCAATCAGAGCTCAAAGATGGTTTAATGAAACATGGCACTTTGAAGTGATCAGGAAATTGTGTTATCATGTACACGTTTATAGAATTAAATACAAAGAAGATGCGACACATCGACACAAGCATACCACAGAAACTGTAATCTTGTAATTCAATGTATTCACATTACAACATCCACATGGTTCAGTTTGTGACGTCTACTGATCTTCAAATATATTCACTGTATAATACATAATACCAATATAGGCACTTCCAGTAAGTCTGGCAATATTGAAGCTACAGTATAGTGTCTAAATTACAAAATGGTAAAAATAAATAATGTATATCTAAAAGAGTTTTTGTAGTTTTAAAATTTCTTCACTGTACAGCATGTATGTATTTTGTACAAAATGGAGCATCGACCTGCAAGGAAATCAATTATTTTACTTTCACAAATACTATGTATTTGGACATATTCTTCTTTAGTACATGTGGTAAGTGCAAGGTACTTGTGAGAAGAAAGCAATTAATTCGTTAATTATGTGTCAACTATATAAAAATACATCATCTCCTTTTGTTTACGTAATTGTAAAACTTGTTTGGTTCTCTTGGTTACAATTATTCTACATGTGTGAATAAGCATGGCAATCAACTAAAACAAATGACGACACAAAATATACACGATTAAAACTGATATACGGTGGTATCCACTCAAATGCAAGTATTGACTTGATGTGACTGTGGGGCAAAATGCGCACGCGTTACACTTGCAATCACCAGGAAATAAACACAGTGGACACAGTCCGCTGGCCTTTAAAGATGTTGTGTGATGAATGCTCTAGTGCTTATGTCTGTGAGGCTAAGAGTACGCAGATCAAAGAGGAAGCGCGAGGAGAAATATCCTATAGGACTTTCTGTGAATAATAATTTCATCTGAGTATCCGTGAAGAATTGAAGAACTACTCACAGCATCGCTTTGCCCTTCATTACTTCACAATCTCTATCCCCTTCTCCCCAACAGTACAAGATAATTAAATACAGGACGGAGTCACATTAGAGGGGTCAATGGAAGAATAAACATAGAAGCAAACACACACTGTTTTGCTCTCGCAGATACACTAAATAATGTATATATACATTCAAAAAGGAAGGATTTCTAGAGTGTTTGAGGTGATGCAATTGTGTAATTGTACAGCCTGGAAGTGGAAGTTACAATGAGTCATAGACAGAATGTATGTTTTTCCAATTCTGCACCACTTAAGCTTAGATACACTGAACAGCTTTCCTACATAACATTGATGATAACTCACGGGGCTTTTCCAAAGCGAAATAAAATGTGTCCATTGTGCAGGTAATGATGATTATAGCTCATTGGGCATGAAATGCATCAGCATACAGAAAAGAGCATGCATTTACAAGACACAATGCACCCAGCAACCCATGGTCATTTGAGGCCCAAAGAACTAACATTGTCCCGATTCAATGGCTTGTAAGAATTCTGGCCTGATAAAGGGTTTCATAAATCTGAGATGACCTACTAATCAGTAGGTCAACCAATTATTGAGCTTGTGCGTGCGCTCCTCCCTGTGTAAGACAAACTGCAGAGGAGAGGCAGAAAAAGCAGAACGGCCCATTGTGGATGCGGCGCTCTATTCAGCACAGCCGGACATATTGTGTGACGCTACGTCAACGCAGGATATGCTAGAATACAATGCGTTGACACAGCCGTGTGTTACAGTGTAATTTCACCTCTCGTGTCATGTGTACAGACTCGTATATCTGCCGTCCACCTTTCCAAAGATCAGTTTAAAGAAATCAGATTATGACAGAGAGCAGTGGTGCAGCATGAGATGCTTGCTGACTGCATCCGTAACAGAAATTTGAACTGCTGATTCTAAATAGAGCACTTATTCAATGCATTCATTTTATTTTTAGTTTGTGCGTAAATGTCAGTGATTCAAATTAAGTTGGATATTCATTAGATTTTGTATCTTATTCAAGCTTCTGTATGTACTTGGTTATTTACATTTGTGGCTTTATTTCAGTTGAAAAATGTGACTTAACATTTAACTGTCAGAATTGTTGGTGAATGTCTGGCTGCTAAAATAATTCCTGTGAAATTTCACAGTTTTTAAAATGTTACTCATAAATACTTCCCACCATCACAAAGAAACGGGAGACAGTCGGGACAAAAATCACATGGAAAGAATCTGATGTGACGAAAGGTGAAATTGATAAAACATTACACGCTGCAGTGCTGTTATCTTGACCTGGGTGAAATCATAAAAACGGTTCCCAGCATTTATCTGCTGAACATTGGTTTCATTAAATAAAGCGCAAACTCCAAACAGCTGCAATTGTTACATAAACAGAGAGAATTGCTTTGGCTCCAATGCTGCTGCACCGCCAGTGTGAGAAGACTGACGTGAGAAAAAGTCATGTGATGTTTAAAAAAAAGACAGATTATGATCATCTAAATTTGAAATGACAGGGGAAACATTCCCTTCGTGCATTATCATGCAAACTGATGTAATCAATATTCTTTGCGAAACTTCATCCACCAGCTGATGCACTCTGCCTGCACTGAACTTGAAGAGAAGAATTAACTCCCTGAGGTGCCAGGATGGGATTCAGAGAGAGTCACCATGAAAAAAAATCAAAGTCAGCAGCTGTGACATAAACTAAGCCTTATTTTATGAACAGAGTTAAAGTTTAGATTTCTGGTGTGTTTTTCACGTAATGTCCTGTTATGTGATGTTCACGTTGAATTTCAACAGCTGGGGAGGGTTTCCTGAGGGTTCAAGGTCAGCATCGTTTACAGATTTTAAGCAACAGTAATTATAGATTGCACGACACACTGAGTCCAGCTGCATGAGTATTAAAATGATGATGACAAGAAGAAAAAAGGACTTCCTGTCAAAAGGCGATTTTTAAACAATACTTGAGGGGACACAAATGAATTTGAATTAAATGTCACCTTTTTTGAGATGGCGTTAAGTTTTCTTAAGTGGTAAAAGGATCTGTTTTCTGGTTCTGTTTGAATGCATGATTGCTGCCAGTGCAGGTCCTTTGAATACAATATCTGGGACAGTAATGTATTACAAATAACAAGAAACCTTCTGAATTCATCTATGTCATCTGCAGAGGAATTGTGCACATGAGCGCATTCATTTAAACACGCAGGCACGCACAAATGGGCACACATGCATAGCGTGACGAGCCTCGGGTCTCTGTGTGAAACTAAAATGGTGCATAAAGTACTTCATTTGGCAACAAATGGAAAACATAAAATGTGTAAATAGTTGATATTGTATGCTAATTCCCAAGAGTGAGTCATTTATTTTGGCAAACACCAATGTTCCTCATTTCTTTGACCCCCTTTATAATCCATGTATAGAAAACAAAAACAAAAGAAATAACACACAGCCAGTGGGAGAGCTCAAAAATGCTAAAATTGAAACACAAGTTCATATATATATTTATATATATATGCACTCAGGAAGTAATTATATATAAACTGGCAGCAAATTTCTGGAGTCCTGCGTTACCACAAAGGGCTGAAGCTTGTGCCACCAGGCTTCTTCTTCTTCTTTTGACAGTAGCAAAAGAGTTTTTATCCCAAAGTATAGGAATAGTCCCGTATTGCAATATGGAAAGCTTTATATGTTTGGTGAAATCAAATATTCAGATAACATGTGTAAAGCACATATTTTGCCACCCTGTTTTTTTTCTTTATAGGCACACATTTCCCAAACATCTACAGTGTTGTGTCTAAGTGATGTGCTGGCAAAAACAGGAGTCAGTTAATAGAAAACCAAGTAACACTTCTTCATGTCCTTGTCCTGAATGATGCCATATTTCCCCTGTGTTGTTTCATTGTGGGTCCCCCTCCTCTAGTTGCTCTTGAGGTTTAGAGTCTTCCCTCAGAGCTACAGGCCATTCTGGTTCCTCCTCTGGATCCTCTCCTTCTATCAGCTCCTCTCTGCTACCTGACTCCTCTTCCTCTTCATGAATAGCCAGAATAGGTTCAGCTACATTGTTTAAATGGACAGGCTCCGCTCCTTGTGCCTGTTTTTGGTTCTCTTCTGCAATCACCTTTTTCCACATCTCGTGGTTCTCCAGCAGGTGCTGCGTGATCTGGCAGAAGACTTTCCTCCTCTTCTTGGGAGTTGCTTTCTCTGAAGAAAACAAACCTCCGTGAATTAATACGTCCGTCGTTCTCTGTGATCAGACATCTTTGGCAGGGGTAAAAACTTACGAGTGGGAGGAAATGCCTCCCCAAACGTCTCATCTTTTACAGGAATCTAAGTTGTCCTTCTTTTCTTTTTGTTAATCAAAAAATGCTGCCCATAAATGCACAAACAAATTATTCTAAACAAATAAATTTCTCTTTTTAGATAGACATTCAAATATAAATACTGTTATCATTATTGCAGATTTACATTTGAATACTTACGGGACGCTTCCGAGCAGGTGGATGTGTCTTCCTCTGCAGTATCCTCCTCCTCCTCCTCCTCCTCCTCATTCTCTCCAACCTCTGGCCCCTCCTCCGGGTTGGGTTCCACCCATCGTCCAGGCATGAGGCTGGCCGAGTCATAGGAGTTACACAGGGGTCCAACGATGTGGGTGATGAAGGATTCCTGGAGTTTGGCCAGCTGTGGGGCTGCTCGATCCATGAAAGGGCTGACAGGAAGGCCAAGGCTGGACTCCTCATCACCCTACACAAAGTATAAGCCATTTAGATATAAAATTATCGCCAGTTAATTTCATATTGTTTGCAGGAAATGAGTAATTGTGGTTAGCATAAGCATAACTGATTCTGAGATTGGGTTTGACTGAAGGGAAACCAGGTGGAAAAACTGATGGCAGAGGTCAAATTTTCCAGTACACCATAACAGTGACCTGTTACACACAAGAGCAAGATCTCTCCTAAATGGAATGCAGCCATAATTAATATATTTATCCCACTTCAGCTTCTGATATGCAAGACAAAATTTGAAAACCGCTGCCATAGATTTTTTGTTTTGCAGTAAGAGATGTTTTTAGTCATCTGTTAATGACTGCGAAAGCCGGCTGCTTAAGATTCATATCATTTGTTTTTGTCCAGGTCATATGCCAATCAAAGAAGGGCAAGTACTAATACTGAAACATAGTCGCCCTCTTCTGTATTTTTTTCCTGTACGTAGACTTCTGGATTTCAGGCATGATTGATTTTTTGCTCCCCTTAATTCCCCCTTTATTTAATCCCTCCGACATATTGAGAAAGTAATGGAAGTGCTCCTTCTGAGAGCTGCTATTGTGTAAGGAGCTGTCATAACTCCATGACAGGACTATTGTATCTTTTCAGTCACATATTGTACATTTAAATGTTACATAAGAGAAGAACAGTGGAGACAGCTGGGGTATCTTATAGCTTTGTTTAAAAGACAACAACTAATGATTCATATATGCTGTAGGCCTTATGTATGCTTGGCTTCGTTGTCATTGTAATAACATCATATGTAATCATGGCCTATTTTTTTTGGTCCTGCAGTACCAAACAGAATCTGTTTTTGCCTTTAGTCTAAAGCCACCCACAGTGAATTTTTGTTACAGTATTTAGGCTTGGCACACACCTCAGCTAATTGCTTCTGGGTCAAGAAGAATATGCTCACGCCCTTATCTTGACTACGGTTACTAGGTGACGACACACCCTGCGCATTATGTGCCTCTGAATTTTTTGGGAGGAGAGGCACATAGAGCAAAAGCTCTACAGGATATTTGTGTTCATCACCACGTCTAGCAGCACTGTCCTTTTAGTTGTTTTGTATGCGGTGATGCTAGCACAGCTGCAATTCACGTCAGATCAGAGTTTTTGGTTTCACCTGAAATTTCAACTCCATAAAAGAAAAGAAAGAAAAGAAAATAACCACCAAAACAATACATCCCAGCTGTCACAGAGCGAGAGGTAGAGGGTTACACCCTGGACATAGTTGCTAAGCTGTTGCATGGCTAACAGAGAGAGAGACATAACCATTACACTCACATCTACAGCCAATTTAGAATCACTAATTAACCTGACCCCACTAACTGCATGTCTTTGCACTGTGGAAGGAAGCTGGAGTACCTGGAGAGATCCTGAACATGCAAAACTCCACACAGAAAGGCCCAGACGGTAGATTAAAACCCAGGACTTTCTTGCTGTGAGCCAACAGAGTCAACCACCAGGCTCAAACGGGCTCAAACACTCAAGTGTTTTTAAAGCAGGATGTGTGTCAGTGTGTGCCTGTTTGTCTATGTCTATTTGTCAGGTCAGTTTTAAACTCCCCCTGTCTCTGAGAAAAGCTCAAGCTCGACCAGGTTTGGGGCCTATTTACCCGCGACACACTCCCTGCCCGTGGCTGGTGCCCCCACCAGTGAATTGCTGGTTCTCAGTGTCTGGGGCTGGATACTCCGGTGTGTACTGGCTCGCTCCTGGCGGCTGCTTTGCGGGGCGTGGGCCCTGCTCTTCTACTCTATTTTTCTCTCCCTTCTGCTTCTTCTGTTAACTTTTTCCCCAACTTCATTTTCTTTTACTTTTTCTTTTCTTATAGGCCTCCAGTCTTGTCTGTTATGGCTCTTTATCAGTCTACTCAATCCGCTGGTGAAGTATTACAAGTTGTCACAAGTATTCAGGGAGTTGGCAGAGGCCACAGGTAAATACTCTTGGTTTCCTGTCAGCTTCTCCTACCTTTATCTGTATCTTTTAGTGTGTGCTTTCTAACCCCCCTGTAGGTGTAAATGTGAGAGTAAATGGTTGTCTGTCTCTATGTAACAGTCTTGCAATAGACTGGGGACCTGTCCAGGATGTACCCTGCCTCTCCCCCTATGACGGCTGGGACAGGCTCCAGGCCCCTGGGACAGCCGAGTTAGATAAGCAAAAGAAATGGATGGATGGATGGATGCTTGCCAAAACTAACAACAAAAGCTGACTTCTTGGAGAGCATCTGGCAATATAATAGATTGGTGTGTATGCCCCAGGTAAGACTGAAGTTCATAAAGGAGATGGACCAAAGGCCCTAGATGTGAAACAAAGAACAGCAAAGAACGACTTCTACACAATGTACAGATATAAATCTACAGTATTATAAATACTGTGCCACTGCATGGGGAACGCCTCAACTTTTACAAACTAAACAGAGCATAAAAGTGTCATCAAAGGGAAGTTGGGATAAATGAAAATTCAGGCGCCTACATGAGGAGGCAGTTAATGAAATTTTCTTCCAGCCATGAGTTTGTATTAATTTAGACAGCATCTGCTCACTGTCATTATATAACGCTTCTGTTTAGGCTACTGTAATGACAGGGAAAACCGGATCTCAGAGCTCCTCCTCCCCTCGTTGTATCCTCTTTTATGTGAGTCCAACTGTTAATAAATTCCATCAAATTGAAGATCTGTCTGAGATCCAGTCGTTTTATAAAACTCATTTGGTTTTGCGTTACAATCTTTCTGCTCTGTGGGAACAGAGGCTTTCTAGTCTATAGTGTACAGTATGACACTTGGGGTTGGTTACCAAGGCAACTAGGAATCCTTGCTATAGCTGTTATTCATTCATATCCGGGAAGACGTCACACACAACATACATGCTGTGCTTTTCTTAGGGCCAATTTTTTACAAATATTACATGTATTTATTTATTTTCTGTCTAACAGGGTTGTGTTTTCTTTCATGGTTCTTTGATAAAGTGCTATCCTGGAAATAGATTGCTATTTAATTGTAAATCAGAAGGAATCTTTTTGAAGAAAGAGTATGTTACTGTATGCTAATCCAGTCAGCTTTCCTGGCTGTTTGACTGCTGGTTTATTTTTTGCATAATTTCCACTTTCTCATGTTGTCAGACTCATTGCTGACATCACTGCTGTAGTCCAATCATCTTTCTGCCTGCCTTCTGTGAGCCAGTGAGCCTCCATCCTCCATTAACTTGGCCTCCAATAACACTGTGAGCAATCTTGAAGTCGTTGTATGTTCTTCAATATCTCTAAAATTAGAAACATCCTTTCTCAGAGTGAAGCTGAAAAACTAGTTCATGCATCTATTACTTGTAGACTGTAATTCGTTCTTATCAGGCTGTCCTAAAAACTCCCTTCACTTGATCCAAAATGCTGCAGTAAGAATACTGACAGGGACTAGAAAGAGAGAGCATATTTCTCCCATATTATTGTCAATGGCTCCAGAATCAAATTTAAAATCCTTCTCATCACATCGTCCCTCTACCTTTGCTGTTGCAGAATTCAAGCCATTCATTTCAACTCAAGATTAGTTAGAGTTCAGTTCTCGCTTAAAATATCTCCTCTGTTTCTGTTTCTCTGTTTCTCCTCTGTTTGTAGGACTTTAAAGACCTGCATTTCCAGATTCGGGAACCGTTTCTATCCAACAGCCAAAAATGAACTCAGTTTTCCCCTCCCAGTATCTTTCCAATAGCTCTAAGTCACTAGTTGCACAGAAATAGCACTTTTTTATTTTATTTTTATCTTTTAAGTACATTGCTTTATAGATTGGATTTCTATAGTATTGCATTTTTTATTACTTTTTTATTTTGTTTTGTTTTTACAGCTTTATTGGGCATGTGTAAAATGCAACTTTCTCTTGTTAAAGACAACAAATCATATTGTATGTGTTGCATGTCATGACATTAGAGGTAGTCTAATTCTACTACCTCTAAGTATATCCTGTAAATTACATAGAAATAAAAACTAAATTGTTGCTAGCAGTGCTTCAGCAATGTTATTTCAGTCTATGAAATCATAATCAATTATTTACACATTATTGTTATTATTCAAATAATACATATTAATGCATAAACCACCCGAATATTACTAAAAAGGTCATGGCTCAAAAGTTACACTGACACTGGTATGATTAGTGTTATGCGACAGTACTATACTGTACTGTGTGGTGTCATGTTGGTGTGCAGGTGCACCCTGACCTTTAACTTAGCTGAGTTCTTAGGTCCCATAAAAGATGGTTCACACACCTGTTCATAGAACTCATTGACAATGCCCTCTGTCCATTGCAGATGTAGCTCCTTGCACTTCAGAGGCCCATTTATATCAGCGAGTTTGATGCACATCTGGCAGACTAGCAACCTGTCATTCTCGTTAGACCAGTCGATACCTGTAGATGGATCATCACCTACCTGAGGGATTGACAGACAGCCATGACAGCATTAGCATATTCAAACACGTTATGTAAGCACAGCTATAATCTTCTGCTGAAATGTTTTCTGTTAAGCTAAAGTTTACAGCATCAGTTCATTGGACTGAGGACGAAACAAACATATATAAGACTTTGTAGTTAAGCTAATACTGACATAACCCAATTCTTATTGTCAAAGCTACTTACTATATAAACAATGCTTCAATAAGGTGCTTTAACCTATACAGAGCTTGAACATATTTCTAAGAAAAGCAGGACTCAATCATATATAAAGTTGATCTCAGCACTTTTTGAATGAATCGATTATTTCTAGTTAAGCTTAATGAGCTTTGGATCTAAAGAGGCTCAGGAAACAGGAAAGCTTGACGGCTACTTCACCCAAAGCTAATTCGCGTCCAGGAAGAGCAGAGCAGGGACTCTGAGAGACCTTATTGTTACTTCTGCTGCCAAACCAGCAACCTCAATGTTAGCTGACAGGCCTTGGCCATCGAGCAGCAACGCTGTAGTAGAACTCACAATGAGAAGAATGCGGACCCTCAAATCGAAAGCCAACACTGTGTCTGCACTCCAGTGAGTTCTTGAAGGCTATGGGGTACTTTGTGTTGTTGACTTACATTGAGAGCACTGCAATGTATTGCACAAACAGATCTGCTCCTCAAAGACCACTTGACAGCTTCCTTTTCCTGAAGCGTTGTCCCAGTTTTTAAAAGAACTGATCTGTTAGGAAAGCATGTCTACAGAATATGTTTGACCCCAACTTTTCCAAGCAATTTATTACTTGGCTATTTAATTTTAACAATAACCAAAAAAAAAAAATCAATTGTAAGCTTTTCATGTTATATTTGAAGACAGATATGCTCAACTCAATGTTTACACTGGCTTAAAAGGATAAACTCCCTCTGAAGAGTTCTTTAATTTGTCAAATGAATGTGAAACATTGAACAGGGATGTTTTTAGAATACCTTGGCATTGAACTCAGCTAGGAAGTCAAAATGCTTCTTCAGATCAGTGGCCAGTATGGCCTCAATGACCAGGAAACGGAAGCGTTTGAACTCCACATGGTCCAGATTGACCAGGAAGTTGTACTCTGGCTGTGACAGGAAGAGGTTCCAGGCTGCGGCAGCGTGGTGGTTTTCCAAAACTGAGCGGTCGTTGTAGAGCACCGCCTGTCAAACAAAACAAACCATAATTGTTAGACACTACTGACAGGGAAATTAAAGCCTACATTATTGCTCTCTGATAGGCAAGCTACTCTTTCAGTATCATTATGTCATCATTGCTCAAAATTGGGTAATTTACTTAATACAATAATTTCTATGATTTCTTTTTATTGATAACACAATGTAGAACTAGACCAAACAGTAACATTTCTACCTGGTAACCTGTAAACAGGTATTCTAACTGTTGATTTGTTTGTTTTTTGAAGCAGGCTAACAGTGAAATAGACAAATAATCTATCAAATGATAATTCAGGTGAAAAAGAAAAAAAAAGGGTGTGACAGTAAATCAAGTAAACAAACTTTTATTTAATCACATACTGTTGACCATGCTGTAGGCTGAATAGCATGAGCACCTGTGGGGCGCTGGTGGCCACGAGGAAAGCGTTTGTCCGCCCTGGGTGATCATAATCGTGCATGGCGGCAGCCACATAAAGAGCCATGAGCTCCAGAGCAGGTATGAGGCCTGACAGGCAGCCATAACCATCTTCTGACACAGTGTAGGTCTTTGAAACCAGGAAGCCCATGTGACTGTGTGTTATTCCACTGTCAGAGTCTAGCCACGGGGGAGAAGACAAAGTGAGGAGGCTGAAGAGAAAGGTGTCAGAATTTACACAAGACACACACAACTGTACAGTACCTTCATCTGCACACACCTAAACACGCGCACGCACGTGCTCTGGAGCACAACACACAGAAGCACACACACACACTTTAACGTTCAAATCCACTTATATGTGGATCAAAGGGATGGCCCTAGTAAGGCATACAAATGAGGTTATGGAAATATGGGTAAGAGGGAACTCTAATCTGCCTGCAATTTCATGCCGTTCTAGACTTCAAATAGTGTTTGGTATGCAAGTGCCAAAAGCCTGAGTAAGATAAGACCAACTTTGAGTGGGATAAGAACACACACTCCTGCAGGTTTGATACTTTGACATTAATGAGATGGCTGCAGGGGATGTGAAAAAATTCAGGATCAAAAAAAAATGACCTACATATAGAAAATCTTAAGCGCAAAAAAGTACAGTAGAGCAAATATTGTTCTTATTTAAAAACTTGACAACAAGTTTTGCATACTTTTATGGACTGATGGATACACATACACACCTGTCAGGACATCAGCTGTCAGCATGCATGCACTGATGGACATACCTGAGTCACTGGCAGAGCCGTGGTCAGTCATGAGGCTGGGCAGGCCAGGCACAGGCTGCGTGGTGAGGTACCAGACTGCGTGAAGCACATCTGTGGCATGGACCCTGTTGTGATCTGGATTAGAGAAGATAACAAGTCTGCTCAGTGTGTGTGATCGTCTCCACCAGGGTGCAGTGTTGGGCTGCTAATGTCTGTTCAATTAAACTTCAAGGCAGTGCAGAGTACTAATGCTGCATAGATTGCTCAACATTTCCATCTAGTGGCTGCTTTCATCCTTGCAACGAGTAATCTGAAGCAAAGTGAAAAACAAAAGCAGGAAGATGCTCGAGCTTACATGGTATGTCTCTGTAACCATTCTCAAGGGCATGGAAGTAGTTCATGAATTCTTTTACGGGGATCTTAAAAGTCTGAAACAGGCCAGTGTCCTCAAAGAGCCTATATGATACCTGAAAGATAAAATATATATATATATATATATCAGACCCCATGGACATCACCAGATCCAGATATATTAAATATAACAAAAGTGTTCAATAAATGTGTAAAACTGAAAAATGTAATGAAAAAAATTAAAAGACAGTGTTATAAATACTAAAGTATGCTACTGTTTTGTAATATAAAATAATTTGTCACTTTGACACTCTGGCGGACCTGACTGAGGATTCGTCCACATTTCCCATTGGTCTTCTCTATCAAGGTGAAGATGGGGAAGTTCCAATTGTTCAGCTGACTCATCAGAGGTTCCAGGCCCTCCATTATTAAAGGCTCTGGTGCCAAGATTGGTTTGTCCTGCGTGAGTAACAAATGGTCAAAAGACGTGAAAACAATAAGGAAAATATTACATAAGGAGTACATGTTCCTGTTTTATTAGCAGTACTAATGTGACTGAGACAGCTGCTTTGGCCCGCCTTACCTCCGGAGGTATTAGTGCATGGAGGATGACATTCTGGGAGTTTTTTCCTTCTTCTGCATCGTCCTCTGTATGTGCTACATCACTGCTGTCACTGTGGTTGGCTTCGTGGGTGCTGTCATAGTCTGATGACACAACCACTTGGTCCTCTGCTGGCGTAAGAAAAACAAAGAGATGTCACACTGCGGCCTCGGGAGAAAATCCACTGTTAATCTTCTTAAACTGATGCATATCACTAGGTTTCTTGGAGTATGTGGATTTACGTCTTCTCTATATCCACTTCCTTTAATCCTGGCTTGTTGTAATAGGTTATTTTCTGCAGGTCCCATAGAAAGTCACTGCTGCCTTCATTAACACTCAAAGATCCCCGATTGCTGCCTCTCACGTGACTGAAAGCAAGTTTTAATAGTGAGTCTGCTTGGAGGTGCTACTTTATAAAGCAGCACACTTAGTTCTTTCTACAGAAACTTATATGTGCTCATGTTGAGTGCTGCTCACAAACTTTAGGAGCAGTAGAATAAACAACATTGTAGTACATTTTTAACAAGAATGAACGCTCTGCCCAGCTCAGCAACAACAAAAGAGCCGAAAGACCACAGAAGACAAAAAATGCACGATGACAGAATTATTTCCATAGTTAGAAAAAACTATTTCACAGCATTTAACCGAGTTGAGAGCACTCTCAATGAGGTAGGCGTATCATCGTCTACAATCAAGGTCTACAATCAAGAGACGCCTTCATAAATACAGAGGGTTTACAACAAAGTAAAAACCACTGGTTATGCTCAAGAACAAGAATTTCAGATGAACCCAAGATTAATGATGGGAGGATAAAAATATGGTCGAGAGAAACAGCTCGTGATTTGAAGCAAACCGAGGTATTTGTCAAACATGGTGGAGGCAGTGTTATGGCTTGGGCATTTATAGCTGCCAGTGGAACCGGGTCACTCATCATTGATGATGATGTGACTGCTGATACGAGCAGCAGGAGGAATTCTGATGTGTAGGGAGCTATATAGACTCAGCCAAACTGATCGGACAGCTCTTCACTGTGCAAAAGCAACCCAAGAGTTTCTATAGGCAAAAAAAAACCCAAGTCAGTCATTGGCCAAGTCAGTCACCTGATCTCAGCCCAACGGAGCATGCTTTTCAGTTGTCAGATACAAAACTTGATGCAGGAAGATCCACAAATAAGAAGCACCAGGTGTTCTCAATGAGGGAAGCAAGAATTTGGCGATGACAATGTGTTTTAGACTTTATGCATCCATTAATGTATAAAATTATGTTAATTTGTTGAGTTAATTTTGAGCTTCTTAAAATGCAGACTGTGTGTGAAAATAGCTGTAATTACTAAACAGTTGATGAAAAGTGGTTGTTAAACCCCTTGAATTAATGCTGAAGTTTGCACTTCTATCACATTGTGACTGTTTGAATTCAAAACCACTGTGATGGTGTAGAGAGGCAACTAACTGTATGAGATACTGCAGAGGTAGTGTTCCTTTATCATCAACACAAACTCATTACTCGAGTCATTTGTTTGGGGTTTTCTGTGCGTGTTTACTATATATATCAATCTCCCATATCAGCTGAGTGCAATGGAAACAAACAGTCTCAAAGAGAGAGAAACAAAAGCGATTCAGTGTTTATGCCAGCAAACGTAACACAAACACTCTTCCCATGCTGCTTTGCGGGAATGCTAGAAAGACTGGGGGCATACCTGAACGTGGTATCCTGTCTCCCTTGTCTAAAGAGCCCTCACCGTGGTTCAGTCTGATGTATGGTCTCCCACAACTGTAGAAAAGAGGGGATTCACTGTTAGTTAAATAAAAGAGTTTCTATTTATCTCAGATGTGCATTCCTAACTACTGCGTGTGGATATACTTGAGTTACAATCACACTCTAGTGACCTGTATCTTTTTGAGCAGATGACGATAACATGAAATGTTTATTCCTTTGATTTAATTATTTGATTATTATCAGAATGCAAATAATTCCACGCCATTCACAGCAGTTCAAAGTTAACAGGCAAAACACATGGAAGATAAATACAGAATATATGTATTAGTCTATCTGCGGCTCTGCTAAAGAAGTGTGAATATCGCTGTTCGCCACATCTGTCTTCGATGTGTAAACAGTCAGAAGAAGTTGTCAAGTAGGAAAAAAAAAAAGAACTTAATGGGGTTCCTACTGTGCAGCCCCCACACGAAAACAGCCGTTGCACACTTGCTTCAAGAAAATACGTAGTAATGAATCTAATGGATGCGCACATTAACACAATGCAACTGGAATAAACAACAAAGCAAACTCCAAACGCTGGCATTGTTATGAATGATTCATTAGAAACTGAGCCCACCCTCTTTGAGATTTATGACAGACCAGTGTCGGCCTCAACAACAACTCACTTTCTTAGTCTCAGATGAAAACATTCCCATCTGATGACTGGCTTTATAAATCAAACAGCAAATGTTATCTTCTGTGGAAAGAACTGGCCTTTACTGGTCAGTTAGCTGTGTGACACCACGGGGAGCCTCCCAGACTTTTCCCAACAGATTTTCCGTGTTTCTCCACTGAGGCCACTGTCAGGCTGTAGGTGGTTCCAATTAAAATACCTCTCCCTAAATGTTGTAAAACCTGCCTACTCGGAGCAGGAAATGCCTGCCGTTAGAGCATGGTGTCACAGGGAGCACAAAGGCCTGTAGTGTGTCTATCTCCTCCTGATAAAGTGTTTCTGGAACACTTTTGAGCTGTACCCACCCAGCATAATGCTCCTAAGGCCCCAACAAAGGGAGTTCTGTTGTGTTTGTACGGCCAGGTTGGACCACTGTGTCTAATGCCTAGCAGGTGTGGAATATAAAATAGTTTGATAGTTTGGCGGTTGAACAGTTAGTACATTATTGTCAGGGGGGTCTGGGCAGGCAGCAGCACTTGGCTTAAAAGGTTTACTTTTAATGAAAGTTGAAGAACTGGCAGACACTTTTCCTATTCTGCTAATGCAGCAGAATAACCTTGAGCCTTGAGCACAAAATGTAAATAAGGAGGCCGGTCATTTTCAGTCGAGGAATCTGCCAATCATATATCAAGTGGCTCTCCTTTTATCGCTCGCTCTCTCACTCACGCAGAAACTAAGTACACATGATATACACTCCACTTTCAATTTGCTATCATGTTCTATGCTAGAAATAACATTTATATACCAGTAGTAAGAATTTACTTTGCCTTTTGGGAGAACGCAACTGTCAGCTGTAAACACATTTGCTGTGTGGAGTCAACAGACACCATCCTATAGTGTGGTTTTATTGAGGAATTCAAAGTGGAATTTAGTTAAATTAAGCCAAAGGTTTTAAGGTTGCGGTTTCTCTAATACAACAATGTCGCTATCTGCAATTCTGTAACCTTAACCACGTAAAGATTGAAAAATATTTCTGTGCAGAGCGATGAGTCTTACAGAAAAATAAACGCACCGAGGGCTTCAAATCAATTTCAATATGTGGTAGTGTGTAAATGATTATTCTACACAAGCTCATTGTTGGTAAGAACAAAAAAGAAATACAGTTTTTCCAAAATATCTCCCCTGTTTTCAAAAAACAGGAAATTTAACATGCATCATACAGTGAATTTTCGATTAAAAAAATGACACGCGCTATATTTCAATCAACTAACCACACAACTTCTTTTGGTTCTTCTTAGTACAACTGCTCGTGTCCTTTTTTTATTATGTCATTGTGCTCTAAAATCAGTTTTATGGATCAGGCGCAGTTTTGTCTCATCATCAAGGTCAAGGTTGGTTTCTTGCCTTATAACATACATAACAAAATAAATAAAATGCTCTTCATCTCTAAACCAAAAGGCACTTGGCACTCACTCTGTAACTATGATGCTTAATCAAGCAAATGTAATTCAGTTTAAATTGCAGCCCTGCCTGCTTTTCCTCATTTTTGAGGACTTCTTCTTGTATGGCCTGAGCCGTGCCGTGGCCTCAGCCTGCTAACCTTTCCGCTGCAGATTTTTTACTCAGCCACTTGCAGCAGGTTGACAGATTACCTTTGGTTCAGAGCCACGACGGACAGTGCCAAAGCCACGATAAACACCACAGCTATTATTTCTGCTTCCAGTAATCTACCTACTCTCGAGCCAGATGACGTGAAGAAGATAACAACACAGTGGCTGGGGCTGAGGGAAATGGAAGGCATTCAATTGGGCCCTTTAAACAGGGTCTATCTGATAAAAAAAAAAAAGGTGATAATGTAGCTTTGAAGTTGGTGTTATTCCTTCTTAACAGTGTACGTCATTGAAGGCTGACATGATGGAAAAACGAGGGAGGGGGAAAAAAAGAAGCCTAATGTCCTAATTAAGATTGTGCAGATTTGATGATGGAGTAGAGAGAAGGCAATTGAAGCCATGTGTTCATTTTCGCCCAACCTCCCTTCCATGTGTTCGCTCTCTCTCTCCTTCCCTCTTTCCCAACACTCTGTGTGAGGATGTATCAGGAATGATTAGTGGTGGTGTGTCAGTGATGTGAAAGGAAATTCATAGGCTTCTGGTCTTGGCCAGACACTCTAACAAATACAGTTTAGAGTACATAAATTACCAAAAACACTCCTTATTACTCCCTAACATGTGTGATTTAGGTGTCAAAGCCTACTTGAGAAATGACGTGTTGGCAGGTTGCTGCTTGCTAAGAGACCATCAAAGGTCGGATCCCAAACACAGCAAGTTGCTTTCAGTCAGCATGGGCTCTGGTTAAGTGTCTTTCAGCTAAACACCGAAGCCTTACCAGCCCTATTTGATTATTTCAGGCATCTGGATAAGAGCTAGATGCCTACAATGCATTTAACTGAAGTGCTGCTCAGAAAAGAGCCCTCTCCACTGCTGTGAACGAAACCTGGAAAATCTCTGTGTTTTCCAATTGTTTCCGGACCGTGTGAGCCAGAAGAAGCAGCTGTATCTAAGAGTGCGAGTGTGTGAGTTAATTGTGGTGTTCTCGTGACTGGGGAGAGAACCAGGTGTTTGTTTACATTCAGTAAGTGGCCTTAGCTGGGGCATGCTGCTGGGCTGCGCTAAGATATAAGACCAGGCAACGGGGCTTTGTGTACAGAAGCTTTGTGTTCAAGTATCACACTGTCACTGTGCAAACAGGACCAAACACGACGCTGGCAGGCGCAGGCTACGCAGGTCTTTGGAGGGCTGAAGGCACAAAAGAAAGCAGTGCAAAGAGTTTAATGCAGTAAAAAAAGAACTTAAGGCTTTCTAATATAGATTGATTATTACAATAAGCCTCCACTCAGACTTTTGTTAGAGCTTTTAAAAAGAGGCGCAAGGTCCATTTTTGTAGAAAAATATACACAATACAACATCTAACCCTAAATACTATGAGCATCACTCTGACACCATATCAGCCAGGACTCCTTTGCAAAGTCTTTCCATAAGAGTATGGAACTTGGACAACAACACAATTTTAACTGTTTTTGCCTCCTTCCACCATCGCAGTGGATTTTAAGGTGTGATTGAAGTGCAGAGTTTCAGCTTTAATTCAAGTAGTTTAACAAAAATTTACCTTTAAGGTATTACAGTAATTTTTAGACATAGTCCTGAATATAATTTCGGGAATACTTATGGGTCTTTGGCAAAGAATTTCTAATGGGATCTCTGTTGGAATTAATTAAGTAAGTAAGTAAAGAAAGCCAGTTTGGTCATGGAACACGAGTTTAACGACCACAAACTAAAATAAATACTGTGGGTTTGTTTACCACGAGGTGAAGACACAGCATTGCCGACTAGACTTTTTCTCCAAGGTATAAAAAAATGTAAAAAACTACCTTGGAAACAGCACACATGTGGTTTTTATGGAAAACGCTTACTTTTACAGTACGACCATTATCATTAGATAGCTTCACTTAACAAATCTTAAAGCAAAAAACTTAACAATACACAACTAAAGTCTGGCTGGTATCACTTGCTAACGACAACATGGATGAAATCACTTGAGCCAGGGTACCTGCCCTCATTAGCCACGACTTGTACACCTGATTGAACATCGATGCCCTGTGATTGCTATTGTTTCATGCTACTCTAAAAAAAAAAATTATATATA